AAGTGTTTTTGTGTGTGGTGTTTAATTAATAATATATTACCAAATATAAATAATTAGTGGAAAAAGTATAATGAATGTGAGACTGTTGAAAGTAGAGGGAATGTTTGTTGGCGGATTTATTGTCATTGTATTTCGGTTGGGTGAGACGGTGGAGGGGTGTTTGCACGAAGTACACAAGGAATGAAGGAAAGTTGAAGTTGTGCGTTTTTTTGATTTCACAAAAATATGTAACATTAATGACGTTATGACAACGGTGTTCATGTTTACAAAGGATGGGGTTCGAAAAAACGTGGAATCGGATAGGAGATCTACACAAAAATATACTGGAACCAGGTAGAAATAATATATGGGATGAGTTAATATGAGGTGATAAAGGTTAAAAAATTTTACATTATTCTTGCACATTAATAAAAAACGCACACGAATATGTCGAATTTGGCCATTTCCTGCAAGCGACTTCAAATTATAGCCGATTCTGTTAAATGAATAACCTTCACTCCTAGATTTTACTTGGCGATCATTACGATGTGTGTGTAGTACTTTCTATTATGCGCAAGTATCTCTTTGAGAGACATGAGGCAATATTAATTAAATTTACAATTTTTTTTTTTTTTTTTTTGAATATTTTTTAAAACATTCTATAACTTTGTTTAGGCGCTTACCTGACAAATAAACAATACTATTAATCCAACCTATGAAACTTTGTCAATTTTCAATTTGTATTTTTCAGTTTTATTACAGACTAAGAGTAGAAGACTAGTAAAAGACTGTAGTTTACTTCTATTATGGGATTTTTAAATATATAGATATATAGATATTTTAATGATACGATTTTTCAGGCAATTGTACGCTGGATCTTTTGCTGATTCTTGTAAAGCATGTAATATGGAGAAGAAGGTTTTAGTAGATTAGACTAGGAGCATCTGGTTGATATTTGTTCTTTATTATTTAGTCTTTCATATACTGAAAGAATATCACAACAAGAGTTCACAGCAGTTTTCTTAGAACAAGTTGAAATAAACACGTTATTTGTAAAAAGGACCTTATTAATAATATTTATTTATACTATTTGTTCTAAATCATGCGATATTAATGTATTTCGTAAACAGCTTTGAAAAAATATATTGGTTGAAATATTTCGACTACCGAAAACTTACTTGAACCAAACTGTTGTAGGTTTCTTTGTTGACAGGATTGTTTCCTAAGTAATGATCTCTGATCGTCTGGGATACTTCGTCTTTCAGCGTCTGATCTATAGTTTCATTGTAATGTAAAACAAAAGGCATAATTTCGTTCCACTTTGTATCAATATCAATCAAATATGTTGTCATCTGTTTTCCCGTAGGAATCTGAAGTAATTTGTGGCTTTATATATTATGCATTCGGAATATTAATATTTCATCGATTTTAATTATAACAGCTGCTGGGTAAAAGGTCTTCGATGAGAACGTCGTAAAATATATCATGGTAAATTCTTGTACTTTCCTTGATTAAGAAGTAGGGGGTCTGAAGAACTTTGGATTTTTAGACCATTTCCCATCTACCACTGCACCGAACGGTGAAAATGGATTGTAAAGGAACGGCTAAAAATAAATAGATCTGAGTTATCTTGAACTCTTACATTTTCTTTTTAAGTACTTGATACTCTTTTACGGCTTGAACAATTTGTCTTGCAGGTTTTGATTTAAGGCAATCCAATATGGTTTTCGAGGCATCGGTGGGACAACCAACAAGAGCTGCTAATTTTTGTGTTTTTTCTTTGGAGTTTTCTGCGAGGACCCACGAGTTCAACATGCAACCGCTTTGCGAAAAGCCAGCTTTAAATAGTCCTACAAAGACGAAATTGATATGAAAATTTTATCATTATAAATAGCTTATTTTTAGCATATAAGAGTGATATCTGTATTGAAAAATTGCTGGCTATTTCGTCATTGAAATAAAAACCTAGCCTAGGACGATAACCAAAAAATGACTGAAAAATTGACGATTTAATAATCTACTTTTGATATAATATAACCAATTGGCCCTCATAAATTTTGTATATCCAAAATTCGATTGTCTGGTTGAACTTTAAAATTCTGGTCTATTTTAAAATTCTGGAAGATGGAAGACCTTAAACATATTGTGTTTATCATAATATGGCTGGACATGACTATAACTTTTTTGTATATCTAAAAAAAAGCATCTTAGTAATATGCTAATGCCAATATTTTATATTATACAATTTGGGATGACAAAAAATATAAAAAAAATTAAAAACAATGTATGCATATCCTTTTCAATTTAATACTCAACTGAACAAATTTTACAAAATTTGAATTGAGCACTGAGCACATTGTTGAGTTTAAAAAGCATAATAGATATGTCAAAAAGATACCTTGAAAATATTAACGTTGAAAGCCTTTTTTATGTTGGGGCTTTGATAAACGATGAAAACAATGGTAATAGCAATGATATGAAATAAACTGAATTTTGTACGCAGGTGTTTACATATTTTGAAGCTGTTAATAGATTGTCACTTTTTTGTAGACCATTGATAAGGGCAGCGAAAAACATGTTTTGATTTCTTTACCTTTATCTACTTTACAGTGAATAACCTACACTATCCCCGAAGTGTTTCATTAAAGTATAAAGTACGAAATAAGAACGAAATAGAAATTTTGCATTTCGGGAAACGTTTCGATCAGTTTCCACAAACTTTTTATAACACGGGCTTATATTTATCGTACTATTTCGCGAAACAATCAAGGTCAAACGTTGTGATGGCTTCAGAAAAATAAGTAAACATGTAGTATGAATAAATATCATTAGTTTGTAATGGAGTGGAATGTAATACCACTATATTAAACCGATATGAATAATCAAAAATAGTGCACTTAGAGAAAAGTTACCGATGGTAGATTAAACCGGCTATTACTCTAAGGTTACACAAGAATATTTAGTTTTAACCATTGTCTCGTATTATTAATTACAATTATTAATAAAAATATATTTTCAAAACTTACAATCGTAAAACTGCAGGGCAAGAGTGAGTAACTGAATAGTTGTACTTACTAACTGTTAGCTAGAATTAGCGGTCCGCCTATATATATATATATTTTATAGTTATTTATATATATATTTTTTTTTCTTTATTCTTTTTTATATATATATATATATATATATATATATATATATATATATATATATATATATATATATATATATATATATATATATATATATATATATATATATATATATATATTTATAGTTACCTTTGGATTCAGGAGTGAAATAGTGAAAATGTACGCTAGCACCACCAGCAGACAGTCCAAAGATTGTAATAGAATCAGGGGTTTCCTCCAAAGTATTGTATGTTGTTCTTGACCCATTTCAAAGCCTTTATTTGGTCTTTAAACCAATATTTCCGGGTATCACCTCATCTTCGGTGCTTAGAAATCCTAAAAATAATTTTGATAAAATAGACCTGCTGTGGCAATCACAAATGGCTTGGAATGTGGCTTGGAAATGAAAACTGCGGATTTTTTATGTAATATGGGGAATGTCATCGATTGTCGTCTCTAAACCAATTGGACGCCGTTTTTTGGACATACGGTACTTTTTGTTTTTGAACTCTAGATAGAATAGGTACGCGTTTATAACAATGCGTACAATTTTATAACAATCGGAAATAATTGTTTTCTTGACCTCCTGTTTGATATCCAGTCAGTTGATTTAGACAAATCGAATATAAATGTCGACTTTCCTTAACCTATAAACATGCTATAAACCAAATTTTAGCTTTCAATATGTGGAATTTATTACCGATCACGTTTTTGTCAATTTTACACATATTTTATTTTTTATCTCGAAAACCATTAGAGTCTGGTATAGGTTTGTATAATAGAAAAATTTTGAGATATGGAAGTAGTTTCGAAAAATATAATAATATACCGTGTGTTCCATTTAAAATAACAAAGATGCTATCACTTTTAGTATGAAGCAGCAACATTGTAATGCTGAAAATAATTTAGACAGATAGAGCAGGTGCCTTTATGCAAAAATCCAAATTTTTAAAAAATCCTATCACCGGTTCTCCATAAACGTGTAATGTGCAATTACACATTTTACCTAGTGAAGATGTTTATACAAATTGAGCTTAAGATGTGTATTGAGAGTTTGGTTAATAATACAACTTAATTAGGGAATCACCACATCAAATATCATGACATAAACATAATAAATCGTCAACCCAGCGTAATTCAAATAAATACCTGTTTGTTATAAAAACAGTATAATATCATAATTGCACTAGAATAAAACTTGGGCAAATATAATATTTTCTGTTAAAGATAATAGAATTTTTGCTAATTTTTCTGCTTCGAAATAAGTATGAATAAGTATGAAAGGGAGATTATCAATTTTTAGTTCTAGGGTATATCCAAAATGTGGACCGCGATTTCTTTGTGTCGAGACTTTAGGCTTTGGGCCTTAAGCTGAACATCGACAAAACTAAAATCATGTGCACTCGCCCGGAAGATCACAACAATACTATAAAATTCGGAGAAGAACTACTGGAATATGTAGCGGAATTCAATTACCTCGGCAGTTTGATTTCGGAGAAGGCCAATATCGACTCTGAAATCCAGCACAGGATTAGCAGCTGAGCCTCAAGAGCATTCTGGAAATTAAAAGACATGGTTTTCTACAATCATGACTTGAGCACAAAAACGAAACCCGGGTGCTGTACTGTCGACACATGAACGCATTAAACAAGTTGCAACAGAGACACCTTAGACAACTCTTAAGAATAAAATGGTTCCATCATGTCGTTGAAAAAGCTAACTGCGAGAGTATTGAATAGGGTGGATCGAAAAATCGAAGTTTTGAAAATCGTTTTGGAATATTGCGCAAAAGTTGCCAACTGGTATTAGAAAACTAATATCTATTTATAAGTTTTCCAATTTTTTTTCATCTTCTGCCCTCTACCGGGCTTTAAAAAAAGAAAAAAAATACAAAAATATAAAATTTTTATTTTTAGCCAAAATTTCAGGTAATAAGTAACTTTTGTAATTAGAAATAATATATCTTATTGAAATATGACATTTTAATCCCCCTACTTAGTGTAGCCTATGTACCAAGGTCAAACTATTTTTTTATAAATACCCAAATATTTACACATTTTAACAAAGAGTTAAAAATATGTCGAGCAGAGCACTTAGAGCTGTTTTTTCGCTTGTTTTACAATATTTTATGTATTCTTAACAAACAATCCAGAACTCACCACGAGGAGGTAACTGCTCGGCGAGTTCCATCCCACCCTCCCTCATTCATTTATTTTTGCTCACTTATTGATTGTAGTTTTTTTTTGACTCAAATTGTGGCATAAGTTTGCGCGTATCTATTTTTGTCTTTATAAAATCTATATCTCTCTTTTGTATGCCTACAACTGATAAATATGCTTCGGTTACAAGTTTTACGCATCTCTCTACTGATTGAGTGTGACAGGGAAATGCAGCGATGTCGATGATTGTTTCATAAGAACTAAAAATCATATTTTTCAAATCACCTATTTCCAAAGTTTGGAGCAATGGGGGACAAGTTATTTCATTTTTTTGCCATTCAATTAGATCAACATAGTCATCAACGTCAAAATTAATTTGTGGGATGATAAAAGGTCAGATATTGCGTGAACGTTGTTTTGAGTTTTTGCATTTAGAATGCGGCGAAGTGCAAGCTCTCTTATATGGAGGCGAGTGTCATGCAACATACATATCAGAAGATTTTTGGGATGGACAAAATAGGCATTTCTTTGTATTACAGGATCTATAACACTTTGTAAATCTTGCTCTAGCTATCGGCTACGTTTTATTGATTTTAAAACATGTTTGGCACCATTTACACATGAAGAGTTGCATTTAATTTGAAACCATAAAGGAGCATAAACCTTGACAATAAATTTGGACAGTTCCTTTAATTGTAATGTTGGATTTTCGATACTAAAATAAAGACGTAAGGTGCGATTAGCCAAAGTGAGCCATCGAGAATGACTTAACTCTCCTGGGCTTCGGTTTAATAAATCTACGGAGCACTCACTTGTAGAAACCGCAACACAAATTTTATACAGATATTTCTGATCGGCACTTAAGTCAAGAAAATCCACGTCTGGTAAATCACAGTCGATAATGGTATAGTTCACAACTGGCATATTTTCGCACTGTTGTATTTGATTTCCTACAGTTCCTGCAAAAGCTCTTGGAACTAGGGTTTGACCGTCAAGCTCTTGAAAAAGATGCCTAAGAGGTAACTAATCAGCGTGAAGCTGGCAGACCAATCTTTGTAAAGGGTGTCCTAATTTTATTTCTATTTGAGAAATTGCACCATTTTTTTCCTGTATTCACCACGGTTCCGTCGCATCCTACTGCTACTAGTTCTTCTAGGTTATTTTCATTACTTTCTAAGAAATTCACAATACTTTGACAAATGCTTAGAGCCGATCCAGAACTGAGAACTGTGTGACCCAAAAATATAGAACCCGACTCTTGAACTAAAGAATTATGTTATTCAAGTACAGTTCTTCTGTGGGACTTGGCCTTCAATATTTTCAATAACATAGGTTTTATCTTTCCTTCCGTCAAAATAAATGGCCTTCAAAGTTTCCGAGGAGTTTGGCTTTAAAACTGTGACAGAAGTTGTGATTTTATCAAAAAGTTGTAATATTACTTTTTTATTATTATAACCAAAGGTAACTTTTGATAGGTATTCCAAATCGATTATTGAAAAAAAAATTTCATTTTTTAAAGGCTGGTAGAGGGCAGAAGATGTGATTTTATTAAAAAGTTGTAGTAACACTTTTTTATCAACATTACCAAAGGCAACTTTTCGAAGGTATTCCAAGTCGATGTTTTAAAAAATTTTAAATTTTGAGATTTACGATCCACCCTACTATTGAAGTCATGATTACTAAATCCCGCTTAAGATGGGCTGGTCACGTATGCAGAATGCAAGAAAACCGTATACCAAAATCTCTGCTTTACGGTGAGCTTGTAGACGGTAAAAGGAGGCCGGCTGGACAACTCAAAAGGTACAAAGATATTTTCGACGAAAACTTAAAGGGGATGTTAATCCATGCATGTTATGCAGAACGAGTGGGAAGAATCATCTCACAATAGAACGCAATGGAGAAGATATGTAAACTCAGTTGACAGCGACAACAAAAAAGTAAAGAGGCAACAAAGCAATGAGATTTTTGAATGTCCGGAGTGCAGTAGAGAGATAACATCACGTATCGGGCTTTTCAGTCACAGAAAAGCTCATGAAAGAAAACGCCCTGCGTGACCATCTTCTGATGCGTGGCAAATATTCGTCAGCGAGTAATGGCAGTATGTATGTATGGCATATATGTATGTATGTGTCGAGACAAATGCCTGACCTAATTAATTGACTACCCTAAGTACTTATTAATTTTCTTTATTTCTTACCTAGCGGTCCCAGTCGATAGTTAAAATTAACAAAAACTATTTTTCTGTCCATGATAATTTCCGGTCCATAGCTGGCACCTCTTCCAAACATAAAAGCGCCTCCATGAATGAAAACCAGAACATCCAAGTTTGCTTTGTCGCTCAAGGAATGCGTATAAACATTAACGTAAAGGCAATCCTCATCACCTTAAAATACATTTAGTTAGAACTTGATTAGAGTTGAAAGAGAATTTGTCTAGTACCATGAACGCGATAATTATTTTGGACATCTTTTTCGAAATGGTCGTATTGCATACATGTTGTTAAGGAATTCGCTTTCCAAATACCTTTCCACGGTTCTGGATCTTCAGGCTCCTAGAAATTGAGATCTTTTATAGTAATAAAAAATATTTTAGGACTATAGGACTAACAAAATATTTTTTGATTATTCTATTTTAAAGAAATGAAGAAAAAATTCTAGACACGTTTTGTATATATGTTACGGTTAAGGTCCGATGTCCGGTTAATGTCGACATTACCCGGTTAATCTCGAGAATAACACACAACAAAACAACCAAAAACATAACCTAACCCAAACATTAACATGTTAATGTCGACATTAACCGGACATGGGACTTTAACCGTAACATATACATATTCATAGAGGGGTATGAGATCTATACAGTCTTGTGTGTGAGTCTTAAATAAGTGCAAATATCTTTGGGAGGTTAATGTATTTCAGCCTCAGAAACAAGAAAGAAAACCCTAAAAAGATGGTTCTCCAAATTTAAGCAAGAACTATTATTTTTTTGAAATTTTCCAAGTAAAATAACTCGGTTATTTTGGATTTGAAAAACGGTAAAGAAATATGTTTTTTTTGTCGAGATCCTGATCGTAATCCTGAAAATGTTTGCAATTATTTAAGACTCACTCTGTATAGTTTCACTTTATAGAATGGAAAATAAAGTCATTTCCATTTTATTTGGAGCATTTGCGGTTTCAGATAAAAATTGTTGGAATCAAATGTTGAAATCATAGCCCTCTTCGTTTCTGAGCTACAGGATCTTTTTGGAAATTTTGCAATTTCGGACACCCCCCGTATCTCTGTTATTGTGGAAGGTATCGAGAAGGTGAAAACTGATTATTGTAGAACTTAGAAAGATATGAACTAAAGTTATGCTTTAAGTTTTAATTAACATTTAATGCTTAATTCTATATTTCTTTTCACTATTTATTGCAATATTTGAAAGTTTTCTTTAAAAGATCATTTTTATTAGTAGGTTGATTGATAATAAAAGAAACTAAGGAATTATTAAAAGGACACATATTGCTTTTATATACTATATATACTTTTATACCGATTTGGTTATTTTTGAAGTGTGGGCGATGTGGTCTGGATTTTAACGTGTAAGATAGAATAATATAAATGACAGTGTTGCCGGTTGTTACGTTTGTAGGAAAATTTGTGTAGAAATTTGTGTTTTTTTTAACTTTCATGTCATGTATACTACTGAAATGAAGATAACATATCTAAGATAAATATAATGCATTACATCTGAAGTAAAATGAGTAACTAATTGTGAAAAATATGGTTCCAACCCTAGATGCAACATTTTCCATAAACGCCTACTTGTGCGGTTTGAAATTTTGATGCAAAATCCGGCAATATCGCATAGAATAAATGTATCAACCTAACTTTTATCTCTTTTTAATACATTTGATTTTCCATTAAGCTGGCCACATCACTGTCTTACACGTTAAAATCTAGACCACACTTCTAAAATTACCAAATCGGTATATCAGGGAAACTTAACTCCCTACCGTTACTTGTAAATCTTGGAAGCTATTGTATCGGAACTTTTAGATAATGAATTGGGACTAATGGATCCATACGACGGCCTCCCTCATCCCCGGATTTGCCCGTTCTCGATTTCTGTATTTAAGGATTTTTGAAATATAAGATATATCGTGGCAACTAGAATAATATCAAAGACCTGAAAATATTACCAGGCAAGCTTTTAGATATTTGCAAACCCACCCCGTTATAAAAAGAAGAATAAAAATATATTCAGAAATTCAGTGGTAACAGTTTAAAAGTAAAATATTTCAGTCCCAAATTAAATTTTAATATATATGAATGACTATTTTAGTAAATACCATTTTGATTTTTTTTATTATCTATCACGATATGTGAAAATCCACGGAATCTGTCGAAATACCTCGAAATCTGTAGAAATTGCCTCAAAATTTGTGGAGATATACAGGGTGTTTAAAAAACATGTGCCATTTCTCGTGGGGGGATTCTTTACGTAAAAATAAGATTTTTTTTTCTACATAGGTCCGATTCTGTTTTGTTTCGAAGCTACAGGGGAACTTCTTCATTTTTTTTGGATTTATTATAAATTTCTTCCAAGTGGTTTTAGCGATTCGAATGAAATTTTGAGAGTAGAAGTTACTATAAGTGCGACATATTTTAATGCTAAGAAGTGTTGACATATTCACCACGGGCGTGCATAAGAGTTATCAGTGGAATATTTTTCTAAAAATGCGATTTCGCTCTCATTGATTGACGCAATTTTATTAATATTTGCCTTAATTCAAGTGTAATAGCAACCTTTAAAAAAATGAATGTCATTAACTGGGCAAAGTGTTATTATGTATTCATCATCAAAAAGTATGAAAAAAGTTCCTATATACAGGATGTTAAACATTTTAAAAAATAGGTTTTTTGTAATTATCTTAAATACCATTATTTTTTCTAAAACTGGCTAAAAATTCCTCAAAGTCGGTCAAAATCTGAAATCTTGTCACATTTTTAAGTAGGGAAGAATAAGTAAGAAGAGATTAAGTAAGAATAAAAGTAAAAGTAGCAAGAATGTGAAATTTAATTTATTGTATATCTATTCAAATAGAGAGATAAGAAAAGTATAAAATCGCGAATATTCGGTTTTTTCCAAAAACCTTTTATATCATTTGGAATTTTTAAACTTTTAACGTGGTATTTTTCATTTAACCATGCATTGTTGTTTAAGAGAACTGTCTTATAGCAGTGATGGCGACCCGATGTCCCGTGAGTGAGATATACCCACGCAGGATTTTTAACAGACCCATGATTGGTAAAAAACCATTTTTGTATACGGGGGTTTATTAATATTTTTTGTATTTGTATTTTTGTTTTCTATTTTTTCGTTCCCTTCAGCAGGGAAATACCTTTCGTGATTCGATCAGATCATAAATATATGGATCCATTCTTATGATCCATTCTTTTTTTTTGACTTCGGACATGTATTTCATTCATCCACGCATCGATAGGCGGAGCGATACGATCAAAAATAATCTAATTTGACGATCGTGAGCAGTCTCTCGGTCGATAATCTCGGCCTTTTTATGCCGAGAATGACTGTAACCGAGACCGAGATCTCGGTCGGACCGTACTAAAAATTCTTTGTAAACATATATGTATTAATAAAATTGTTTTGTTTACTATTAGTTGAAATTAAATATTGCTAATTACGAAACGGATATAGTTGGGTTATTTTTAGTAATAACGAATATAATAATTATTGGTTTCAAAGTTTCAAGGACAATGTATGATCTTTATTAAAACTGATTTCGGAATAGCATTGATATTGAATATTGAGTTTTTGCAGCGATATTTTGAACAGGTGAAACTAAAGCCAATGCGAAAACTGTGATATGTATTTAAGAAAAACATATTTTTTTTAATTACACATCGAATAAACTATAAACTAACTATGTTATCTAATTTTATAACTATAACACAGGACACAGGGTGTTCCAGGAATAAGTGCAAGTATTTTAAGGAGTGGTAGATCTTTATAGAAGAAACATATTTTCTCTTTATATCTTTTCCAATAAGTCCAAAATAACGGAGTTATTTTACTTTTTTTAATAGGGAGTTAATTTCCAAAAAAAAATATTTTTTTGCTAAAATTTTGAGAACTACTGGATCTTTTCTGGATTTTCTTTCTTGTAAATTTAATCTACTACCTACCTATGGTGCCATATTATCAAGAAATTATTTTTTAAATAAAAACTAAAAAAATTTTCAAAAAATTCCGAATTTTCAAAAAAAAAAATTCGCGAAAAATACCTCATAGGCGTGGTTCTGGGGTTGAACTATACTACCAGTTAAAATACTTGCACTTATTTCTGGGACACCCTGTATAAGTGGACCGACGAAAATGTTAGACCTTGTTAATTTTAATACAGTTTCTGTATAAAGTAGTCCATTATAATGAACATGACCAAACAATTATTTTATCAACTAAAATGTACCTACTTCAAACCTTAAATTTCCTACTGGTGGTTTTGCATACGGTATTCCTTCAAATTTAAAGTAAGGATTTAGGTTGACTGATAATCCTACACCTCCTTCGATAACGCCTAGAGGTGTTGTTACTCTAGGGCGAAACTCTTCAGCTGATGTATCTAGAAATTGACTTGGGTTAGTATCTTGTTGATATAAATTTACAACATTAATCATATATTATGAGTTATGTATTTCTTATGTTTTATTTGCCCATTCTGGCAATAATAATATTAATATAATACTACCCCTGTATGATTTTTTAAAAAATTTCAAAATAAATAATAAAAACAAAATAAATTATGCGTGACCCATGCGTTTTCCCGAAAGACTAACCGTTTTTTAAATAACAAATATTGTAATATTTGAGGGGCGTTTTCACCCTCTTGGATTTTGAGATTCGAGAAACCCCTCCTTATCGAACCTCTACACCCCACAGTCAATCGGTTTGCCAAAAATCAGCTTTAAACGTCAAGCAGTTTAAGCAGAATCGTGATTACTCAATGGTGATATTTTATGGAACAACCTGTATAAATTTTTAAAAAATCTTAAAATATGTAAAACAACAAAATAAAATACACGTGTTTAAGAGTTTTTCCGAAAAATTCACCGGTTTTTAAATAAAAATTATTCTAATATTTAAGGGGTGGTTTCACCCCCTTAGAATTCGAGTTTCGAAAAATCCCTTCTTATTAAAACTCGAACATAACACCGAACCTCTACATAACACCCTCAAGTCAATACGTTTTCCAAAAATCAGCTTTTTACGTCAAGCGCTTTAAGCAGGATCATGATTAATCAATGACCAGATTTTTCGAAACACCCTGTATACATTTTTAAAAAATCTTAAAAGATGTAAAAAAAAACAAAATAAAATATACGTGTTTAAGCGTTTTTTTCGGAAACTTGACTATTTTTTAAATAAAAAATGGAGGGGTGGTTTCACCCCCCTGGAACTGGATTTTCGAAGAGTCCCTTCTTATCGAACCTCTACACCCTAGAATCAAACTGTATGCCAAAATTGAGCTTCTTACGTTGAGTGGTTTGGGCAGGATTGTGATTAATCAGTGAGTCACTTTCAGGATTTAGTCAGGATTTTATAATATTAGTATAGATTATAGTTTTTTTGAGAACTGGGGGTTGTTCCCGTTTTATTGTTATAAATGAGGTATATTGTTATACAGTACGTCTGCTGGATATGTGTCTATGAAAGGAATGCGGACAAAAAACATTTAAATAAACAGCAATATATTTTATACGTCGCGGGTCGACTTGACGAGTACGTCACCGCAAATCGCTCCGTCCACTCATTTTATTGGCTACTTGCAAATTTGTCGAATTTTTATTCATGGGACGCGTCGTCTAATTTTTTACGAAAATCATCGAGAGAATATCGTTTCCCCTCTCACGGATACCCCGTAGCTACAGAACGGACAGAGGTACTGTAGCTCAGTAGATTTTTCATAATATTCTTATTCCAAAAATATCTAAATACTATAATCAATATAGGACAGTTTTTGAAATATGACCATTTTTACTTTTTCTATTACCATTACATACACACACACATATTTTAAAATAATGGGTTGAAAATTTGATGTAGGAAACCAGGTTTCAATATTTTTGGAACATTGCGTAGGTATGTCTCTTTGTAAACAAGAAATAGCCCCCTTATTCGGATAAGGGGGCTATAAGTTAGACTATCGGTAGTCAAGTAGCCTTAAAATCGACCAACTCAGTATCCATCAATTCGAAGTTTGTCAAAGAATGCCTAGAGAAATTAGGCAATCAGGTCATCCTAATCTGGGTGTCAGTCCACCAAGAGATAGCAGGTAATGAAAAAGCAAACGATATAGCTTGAAAATGAGTGAACACTTTACTGACTGGATCAGAACCGTTTGGCTCCCAAGTAGAAACGAACTTAAAACAGAACTCAATAACCTAGAAGACACCATCCGTAACCTAGAATGGGAATCCTCCAAGACACTCGAAGAAGTTTCTTATGCTTATTATATCTTAGATCGAGAAAAATCAAAGATTTTCCTTGATTTAAGTAAGAACAATCTTGGGACGGTTTTTTTTAACAGGATACTGTGTCCTCAATAAACACATCAGTAGATTAAAACCAAGAAACAACGGTAAATGCAGATTCTGTGTGGATAACGGAAAAACACCAGAACAATACATCATCACTGAGTGCGCCGAAACGACAACCATTCATGCCATAAACTTTAGCATGACTGATATCGAAGATGGAGAACTGAGTTCTGTAAAACCGTATGAAATACTGGCTTTGGTCAAAGTCCTGAGATTAGTGATGAGAGACTCAAGAAGAGGACACAGTATATAGATTTATACAGGGTGAGTTTTCTACTATGTTCTTTATGGGTATCTCGGAAACTACTGGAGATAAAGAGTCGGTTAAATGGGGAAAGAATTGGAGTCTTGTGGGATCATAAATATGCGCCTTTCAGATTTTTGAAAAACTCATGCCTTACTAGATATTTCGAAAAAACAAATTTTTGCTATTTTAAAAATGGTCCTTATAATTCTATTATAATTCATTTTAGACAAAAAGTTTTAGATAATCACATCAATAATAAGATTGTGTTCTCCGCTTTTTTCTAAAGCCGGTAATTTTTGACATATGACACTTATGTTAATGCTTAGAATTATGTTTTTTTTTAATGGAAACCATAGTAGGCCATGACTTCATAAAAACACCATTTTTTAAGATTTTCAGCGATATAAGCTATAATATGAATTTTTCAAAATTGCTGAGTTATTATAGCCAATTCTTATCATTTTTAAACAATTTCACTTTAGCCATGGAAACAAGTTCAACCGTATTTGCTCTCAGAAACGTCAAACTGTCACATCCAAACTTTGTAAATTAAAATAACCAAAAATTATAAATATGAATTTTTCAATTGAAGGAAAGCGTGTAGGATTATTGTTTCAAGTTTTCTTGGCCATACCTTTTCGAGGATACGTTCCATACGCTTTTTAGAGAACGGTTTTCAAGACATGTTAGAAAAGTTAAATTTAGAGACCCCCCAGAATGAAAAAAAAAAAAATGTTAAAAATTATTTATATTATAATTATTTAAACTCAAGGAGAGGAAGGGGTGGATCAATTGCATGGGTCTCCTCGATCACCTGAACTATCTATTTTAGATTTTTTTATGCGGTATATTTTTGGAATACTTTCTTAAAAAAAATATTAAAAATACAAGAACTGTCCTGAAATCAAAAGTATATTATGTATTTACATTAGATGATCTGTACTTACTTTGCTATAAATATCGTAATCTTAAATCATACAAGATGTTCAATATAAAATAATTTTTCTTCGTTTTTTTAAATGGACCACCTAGTATAGTATTTTTTAATGTACAATTAAAAAATGAACATTTTTTGTGTTTAGAGTATTTCAAAATTTTTAACAGTTTCGCAGATATTTGCGGTTTTATATTTCATATGCCATTTTCCATAGTAAGCTTTTATCAAAGCCACTCAATGATTTTTCTCTTGTATTTTACCGTTGAAAGAGTCATATGAAATAATACCGCGAGTATCAGCGAAGCCGTTAAAAATTTTGAAATACTCTAAATACAAAAAATGTTTATTTTGTAATTCTCCATCTATTAAAAGAATAGTATACAGGGTGTTTCATTTAAAATAACGAAGAAAAATTATTTTGTATTTTAGAAAGTTTGGCGTAGAATTTTGAACACCCTGTATGATTTAAGATTACGATATTTATAGTAAAGTAAGTACAGACCATCTAAAGTAAACACCTAATATAGTTTTCATTTCAGGACAGTTCTTATATTTTTAATAATTTTTTTAAAAGACTGAAAAAAATATATTTTTTTTAATTTATTTATTAATATCTGTGAAACTATCAAAACCTATTTAAAAAGATCTGAAGATTATGTAAAGTGATCAGAAAGGAAGCCAAAAATGTAATGATATACAGGGTGTTCCATTTAAAGAAAATCATCCTGATCCACTCACACTTTTTTGAGTCACCCTGTAGAGGTTAAATTATTTTCCTAAGCTAAGTTTTTTATTTTAGGAGCTATATATGCCCGACGCACTATTGCCGGACCCTCTATACAAATATACTGGTTTAATCACCCCCTTAAATTTTAACAGGTCATTAAGTACCTAACACCCTGTATTTACAGCTTACAAACACATCTCAGGTTCACTACTAGGTCATCAGTCTAGTTCATACTAGGTTCAGTTCTAGTTCTCAGGAACAATACTATTATATTCAACATTGTCAATAAAATTTAAAATTAATAAAACTTTTAATTTTTATATTTGTATTTTTTTAATTTAAAAACTTAATTAGAACTTAGAACATATCAAATATTATATTTTAATGACCACCTCTAACCACCCAGTAAGGCATTTTTATTTAGCAGTATGTACTTACCTAGATTATAATATATAGAAAGAATCAAGATGCTAATTGTTGTTAACTTCATTTTACTTTCATTAATTTTTTTTCGTCTTAACACTGCGAGTAACTTTAAGATACTAAAAATCTATGTGTTTGTCTTATTTATCTAATTACTTTAAGACGAACAACTTTCTTATCACCTCTTGATTGCTATTTTGAGGCATATACACTGTGCTTATAAGAACTATAATGAAATAAATTAGTATGTAATTAATTTATTATGTCGTAACGTCAAGCTGGACTTTTCAACCTCAGATGACACCTCTGTATTTTTTATTAAACGGTTGTCGAATATAAATGATTTGACTCGAAATTTTGAATAATAATTGCAGCAATATGAAGTAACGTGCAGTCTGTGTAAATACCTAACATTTGCTTTGGATTTAGCGTTCGACTTTTGTTTTAATCTTTATTGTGCCAAATTTGAGAGTGTTTATGTATACAGGGTGGTCCAATTGTATTCAGGAAAATTCGGTAGAATATTCTGCAGATAAAAATAAGTAAAAGAGTATAAATTTATGTCCTATACAGGGTGAGTTTCCTACGATGTTCTCTATGGGTATCTCGGAAACTACTGGAGATAGAGAGTCGGTTAAATGGGAAAAGAATTGCAGTTTTGTGGGGTCATAAATATGCGCCTTTCAGATTTTTGAAAAAGTTCATGGCTTACTAGATATTTCGAAAAAAACAAATTTCGGCTATTTTAAAAATTGTCCCTAATTCCATTATAAACTGTTTTAGACAAAAAGTTTTCAGATAAAAGTTGTAGATAATCACATCCTTAATGAGATCGTGTCCTCCGTTTTTTTCTAAAGCCTGTCATTTTTGACATATGACACAAACATATGTTTTTTTAAATGGAAACAATAGTTGGCCATGACTTCATAAAAAGCGCCATTTTTAAGCTGTTTAGCGATATAAGCTATAATATGTTTTCATCGAAAAATTACTGAGTTATAGCCAATTCTTATCATTTTTAAACAATTCCACTTAGTTAGCCATGGAAACAAGTTGAATCGCCGTTGCTCTCAGAAATGTGAAGCCGTCGCATCCAAACTTTGTAAATTAAAATAAACAAAAATTGTAAATATGAATTTTTCAAATGAAGAAAAGCGTGTAGTTACTCGCGCATCAATAGAGTGTTTCCAAATGACCCCCCCATAATGAAAGAAATGTTAAAAATTATTTATATCATAATAATACAAACTCAGTGATAGGAAGAGGTGGATTAATTGCATGGGCCTCCTCGATCACCATTGTAGATTTTTTTATGCGGTATGGTTAACAATAGGGTTTACAAAAGAACTTATGAATAAGAGAGGCACTCGAAGTGGCGGTACGAGAGAAGTTTAATTAAGTCGACCGGTTCTTTTGTGAGAATAGGTAATAATTCAGTTTTAAAAAGATGTAACTCTCAAAACAATGGCGGATTTTTTGAACATTATCTAAAATAACTTAAAGTGTATGCAGTGACTGCAGTGATATTATTTTTTTAAGTTTTAGTTTGTGTATATCATAACAGAATAAGAATGCCATGCAATCTAAGTGAAATTAGTCAAGAAAGATAAGAATTGGCTATAACTAAATATAACTTTTCTAACAAGTCTTGAAAATCGTTCTCTAAAAAAACATAACATTCACCGGTCAACGTATCCTCGAAAATGTATGGCCAAGAAAAGTTGAACCAATAATCTTACACGCTTTTCTTCATTTGAAAAATTCATATTTACAATTTTTGTTTATTTTAATTTACAAAGTTTGGATGTGACAGCTTCACATTATTGAGAGCAAAGACGATCAAACTTGTTTCCATGGCTAACTGAGTGAAATTATTTAAAAATGATAAGAAT